CCCCCCCCCCCCCCCCCTTTCCCCCTTCCCCCCCCCCCGCCCTCCTCACCCTCAGGCTCTGAGCCTTAAACACAATCGCCTAATGTAAACCCCTGATATTCATGAACACACCTTTCTTCCGGCCTGCATAGTAGAATCCTGTTACAAACCCTTATGCAAGGTAGGGGTTTATCAAGCAGCGGTCTACGTTAAATCGTTTACCCTACATTAAAAATCTCCTTTGGCTTCGTGCGGCCGGGATGCCATTGCGGTCGATGACGTCGTGCCTCTTCTCACTACGGCTCTGCGGACAAACCTGTGCAGCTGAAGGTTGGCTCATACTGCTGCTTTTTGAAGCAAAACTAACCCTAAACCCTAAACCAGAGTCTCGTGCTGTTTGTGGTCCGTGGGTCGTCTTACAGGCCTGGTGGCTCGTCCCAAATACAAGAATCCGAGTTCTGACGCTCCCCCGATCTTCCCAATGAAAGAGCAGGACATTGACCCCACCATGAAGAACCGGCAGCATGTGATGGCAAATTATAGCCTACTATAGACGGTAGAGTTACCATAATGAGGAAACCATACTATTTACTATAGGTCCCTATTACGGTATCTTAAGCTACGTAGCACAAGCAAAGGCAATTTGAATTCCTAGACTTTGAAGTAACCAGGGAGAAAAAAGTATGGACTTTGATTGCAGAATGGTTCCCTTAAGGAACAGGTCCCAAAGAAAGTGTTCAAAGTATGGTACTCCAGAACCCAGATTCAACCCTAAACCCTAAACCCCTAAACCCTAAACCTGGTTGCAGCTCCAAAGTACAGCAACGGGCCCCTCAGCCTGACAAAACCCTTCATCCCTCACTGAGAGCTAGGTTCCTGAGTGACCCCTTAATAATAAGGGTGCCCTTTTTCCTGTTATTCGGTCTTAATAAGGGAACCATACATACAATAAAAAGGGCAAAAGGGTACTACTCAGGAACCTAGCGCGAGAGAGTGAGATAGAGAGCGGAAGTAGCCTTCAACCCTAAAAGAACCGACGCCCCTAACCCTAAACCCGCATGGACATTTTGAGAGTCAGAGAGAGGGAGAGAGAGAGAGAGAGAGAGAGAGAGAGAGAGAGGAGAGGAGAGAGAGGCAAAGAGAGGCACCAAAAGCCGCCAAGCTCAATGGAACCGTAAGGGCAGACACCCTTAATGCCGAACCCAACATCAACTCTTTGCAGAAGCCCTAAACTCTATATCGGCCCTCAAACCTAAGACCCTAAACCCTAAATCCTAATCTCTACATCCTATCCTAAAACCCCCAAACCCTACACCCCAAGACCCTAAATGGCAGTTTTGGGGTCCTTATAATAAGGATCCTACTATTTAGGGTACCATGTTAGGGTCCCTTATTTTCGGAAACCCCCAAATCCCGAGCTGAGACTCTGAGTCCGCCTGCAGCACGCGTAAGCCCTCCTCCTGGTCGAGCAGCTCGAAGCCGACGCCCAGCCTCGTCCGTCGGCTAGAAATTTGGCTTTTCACAAACCCTTGGTTAGGGTTTAGGGGCTTAGGGAGTCAGCTCGAAACCCTAAACCCTAAGGGGTTCAGGGGTTTTGGGATTCAGCCCTAAACCCTAAACCTTACGGGGTTTAGGGCTTGAGGCCCAAAGCCCTAAACCCGGAGAGGTTCGGGGGTTTAGGGGTCTCGGGGTTGAAGGCCTGCTCGTGTCTCCGCCGCTTGTGGCCATGTTCAAGTCTTTGGGGTATTGCAAGGTTCTGTTCAAGGAGTACTAGACAGGTACTACTTCTATAGGGGTACGGTTGATGGACAAAATCCTGCATGACCTTATATACCTAAACTATGGGATTTATGGTACTATACTATATTTGGGTCATGCAGAATTTTGTCCATCGACAGTATGAAGGCCTCTATAAGTATATAACTTGGATTTGCTCTGGTATGGGGAGGTGGGCTGTCCGGGCCAGGGCTTTCGGGACGGTTAGGGCGGTTACGGGTTTAGGGATGTTCCGCGTGTGTTCGGGTAGGGCCGTAGGCCCTGTGGTTGAGAGTTGCAAAATCGTTTAGGGTTTAGGGTTTAGTGTTTGCAAATATATTCTACTATTGCCCTGTATTTCATTTGAGCCCTATATTTCCTTCGTAGGTTTAGGGCTGAACACAAAAACTGAGGTGTGTTAGGGTGTGCGGATGGGTTTTCCATTGAACGACGACGGAACTTGGAGGAAAAAGGATGACCAATCCTGCGCCCTAAACGCTCAAGTGCTTTGACCCTACGAACACCCTGTAAAGCCCCTACTTGGAGGTTCATGGGTAGTTATAAGTTGGGGCAAGCCCCCTAATATGGGCTATGACTACAGTTACCTTACTTACAGCCCCACTTATAACTACCCATGAACCTCCAAGTGTATTCGACCCTTATTCCAAACCTTACACCGCAAACCACACCGGAAGCCGCAGTGCAGTCCGAGGCACTTGCCGTGCCCTGAAGGCAGGAGCCATCTGGCGGCGGTTTTTCGGGTGTTATCTGTCAACCCACTTTTTTGTAGGTTCTTATTATAAACCCTAATATGGGATTTATAGGGACCCTGCAAAAAAGTAGGTTTTTGGGTTCTTAAGGTAGGGCTTAAGGTTTAGGTCATAAAGGGTTCGAACAGAATCATGCCTGGTTTCACAAAAGGTTTTGTAGGGCGTGCAAGGGTTTTCCCAAAGGCTCTGTTGTGATGGCTCAGGGTTTAGGGCAGTGTGTGCCCTTTATGCGCGTGAAGGTTTTGGGAGGGCTCTCATCCCCAGACCCCCAAAAGGATCGAAAAATTAGATCCAAAAAACTACTAAAGGGTACTTTATAGGAACCCCGGAACCCCCATTAGGGGATCTATGTTTTAGATCCCTTTTGGGGGTCTGGGTCGGGTCTGTCGGCGAGGGTGATTCGGGGTTGAACTGGGGGCCTGAAGGACCCCGATTCCAATCATGAAGGCCCCCTAAGGCTCCGAGTACCCAAATAGTAGGGTTTCAAGGTCCAAAAGGGTTCAAACAAGCTCTTCCAGACTGTAGAAACACGGCTCAAGAAGGACTTGCTCAAGAGCTCTCCTGAGATGGATGACCTGTTCAGAATGTCCAATGTTCTCACTCATAGCCCCACAAGCTGGGTGTGAGACTGACGCTCGACAGCAATCATCACTCAAGCACCTGAAGCTACTGCTGCAGTTAAACCCGGAGACTCCAAGATGCCTTAATTAAGGATCATGCGTTAACTTATAATAGGCTCCTTGATATGATGCCTTGATGTGCTTTAAGAAACCTTCCTTAATTAAGGGAAATAGGAGTCTCCGGAAATGTTTAGCGATCCAAACAATCAACCGCCAGGCCTCCCCGACGAGTGCAAGAAAACCGCATTTCTCAGAGCGCGGCTCAAACAGGACTTGCTCAAAAGCTTTCCTGAGATTACCTGTTCAGAATGTCAAATGTTTTCACTCATAGCCGCCATAGCCCCACAAGCTGGGTGTGAGAGTGACGCTCGACAGCAATCATCACTGAAGTACCTGAAGCTGCTGCTGCAGTTAAACCCGGAGACTCCAATATCCCTTAATTAAGGAACATACGTTAAACTATACTAGGATCGTTGATATGATTTATAAGAAATCTTGCTTACTTAAAGGATATTGGAGTCTTTCGGAAACCTAGCGATCCAAACGATCAACCGCCAGGCCTCCCCGATGTCGGAAAGAAAGCTGCATTTCTCAGTTTGATTTGCGCCGGGTTCAAACAAGCTCTTCCAGACTGTAAAAACACGGCTCAAAAAGGACTTGCTCAAGAGCTCTCCTGAGATCTAACCGAATCTAACCACTGGCTCAACCCGTCACCATTCCCCAGTAACCATTAACCATTGACCACTAAGCATTCGCCAATCACAAAAAATAATGCTTGCCTGACCTATCCTTTTCTTGCACGGGCGAAACGCCTCAGTGCCAGAAAACCAAATTACTGCTCGACGCTTCTGCACAGGGGCGAATCGCCTCACTGCTATGGACAACTTTTTACACTAGCCAAACCCATCGCCTTGCTCCGTTCATGATCAACCAGTGATCTTTAGGCAGTTGTCGTTCACCGAGCGCTTGGCGCCACACTTAGAATCGTGGCACTGTTCGAGCAGAAACGGCAATGGATTCGAGAAACTGTCGCGGATTGGCAGCTTGCTTAGGGAGCACCATCTCAGAAATCCCAATCGCACTGGGAGCGTGCCGGTATACGAAGTTGGGGGACACCAAGGCCGTGCAAAACCGCATCCCTTTTTTCAGCATAGCACACACATCGAAAGGATGTCAGCCTCACTCGGCGATCCGACGCTTCTTTGCGGCATGCGCTGCTACGGCTGTATCCTTCTGCATCATCTTCAACAACCAGCCGAACATGCTTTCAATGGTGTTGCCGTGAGCAAAAAACCATTCAGAGTATTGGATTTTGGAACCTAAAGCCTTAATTACTGTTTGGGTACTCGGACTCTCTGGGGCCTCTAATCATACTAAAGTCCTACTAGGCTGTTCGGTAACCCACCGGAGTGGAAACAATCGCATACTTATTGGGTTAGTTATATTATCATAGTAGGAACCCAAAAATTACGGCATCTAGCTGAACAACCTTGTCTTTAAACCCCATACAGAAACCCTTCAAGGAACCCTGCGTGAAGCTTCGGAGAGTTAGGATCTTCTGAAGAACACTATCCGTGCCTACACCAAAAGCCTTGCTATAGGATCCCCAGTAAGATAGGTATTGGGTAGTTTCATAAGGGTCTTAAGACCACGAAAAGGGAGACAGGGCCCACTGGGAGACTTAGCTGAAGGATTATCTATCTACTTTCAAGGTCTTGTTCTCTCTGGGTCTGCGTAGAGCAGATGAATGGCTAGCGAACCTCTCGTCATTCATCCGACTTAAGAATGGGGATCCCAGTAAACATGAAGCTCAAAAAGGGCTTCTGGAAATATGGTCCCGCAAAATGAAGGAACTTCTGGGCTGTAATGACAGAAGGCCCCTAACCCTGAACCCTGAACCCCAAACCCTAAACCCCTGGGTACCACATAGCAGTCTTCTACAGGATTAAATCGAGGGGCCGTAATGATTAGACTAGAGAGTTCTTTGAAAGGGTCTCTTTACAGGGGCCTCTAAGGGCTACTATACAAGGTACGGAAAGGCTTCAGTATTGGGGCCTTCATAATGAAAATAGGGTTTTGGGGTAGAGAATATACTTCTCGGTGATTAAGAAAGCCCCTTTATACTATACTGGCCGCAAAAACCTCCATTTGCAGAAGCTTGTAACCGCAGGACATGTTGCGGCAAAAGTCTGCAGGGAGGGGATACACAGACCACATGGTCATTCCGATCCCTCTGCTAGATCTGCTGCCAAGGTGCAAAAACTCCTGAAACTGGGTTGGCTGGTAAGGGAGGAGGGCCGCGTAATTCAGTGCCTGGTCCATCAAAGGTATCGTTTAGCGCTTAGGGAGCAAAGGGCTTACGGTTCAGAGGGCTTAGTGGTTTGAACTTGGGTTCATATTAAGGTACAAAATGAAAAGCCGTTCCTAAGCAAGCCCGTTCTGTTCACGGCGTAGTAGATGTAAAGCTCTGCTTGGATGACTGGGAGAGTTAGGACGTAGTTGGACAAGTAGTTGCCTGGCTGACTCTTTTAGCCTACTTATTATGGCTCCATATAGAAACCCCAAAAGTTAAAGTCCTAAGAGCCAACCAGGAGAACGCCAAGGTTTAGGAAGAGGATCACGGGTAACTAGTCTCATTGGTATGGATGTCTGAATACTAAGTTGGAGGTTCGTCTAGCAAAATTGCATTATGGGGCTCGAAATAAGCAATATGAAGGACGAATTCCTCAGGCTTTTGTAGGACCAGTTGTCCCGCTCATGGTTGAACGTTCGCAACCGCCCCCGTTGGCACAGGGAAGGAGCTCGAGCTACAGAGGGATATGCAGCGGCATTGCGCCAGTCTATTTCATGGAGGTGAGAACTGTGAACATCCGGTTGATGATACAAATCCTGCATTGCCCATAATATGGAAAATAAACATACCATAATTCCCATAGTTTAGGGTCCTTAAGGTAATGCAGGATTTATATCATCAAGAGTCTCGCTAACACCTCCTGTAACCCTCCCATCCTAGGGGTCAAGCCTCCTTGTCGTGGCCCTGACTCTTGTACGGATCGGGCCATAACTTGATGCTGCCGGCCTGAACAACGATGTTTTGTGCCAGAGGTGATCCTTGGACTACTCATCTCGACCCCTAAAATACGTCTAACATGACTGCCCTAGACCCCACCCCAGGCTCATGGACCTCCATCGTGAATGCCCAAACCATAGCCCCCAAAGCCCGAACCTTCCCCTAGAAAGCCCACCTTAACCTACCAGAACCTACATTTTTGTAGGTTCTTATTATAAACCCTAATATGGAATTTATAGGGACCCTGCAAAAAAGTAAGTTTTGGTAGGTTAAGGCATAACAGCAATCACAGCCTTCGGGTAAACCCCAAATCCTGCCCCCGGAGCCAGACAGTGCTGACGTGTTGCGTCGGGTCTCTCGCTCAATTGCCGAGCACATGGCTGAATCATCGAGGCGAAAAAATATGAGGATGTTGGAGTGTTACAATAAGTGGTGGGAATACTGAAGAACCAAAAACACTAGGCCCCTTGTTCCTACGGGCCTCTCAAGGTATCTATTCCTTCAGAAATCAATTTTTTCGTAGACTCCTTGCGGTCTGCGGGGTGGGGCGAGCTCGTTGTTGACCCACTGTGTATAGAATCTACAGCGTAACTAGCTAGTAGACTCGACTTCGACTACGGGGCTGACGGCTTGGGCTGGGACGATCCGGATTAGGGTTTAGGGTTTAGGGTTTAGGGTTTAGGGTTTAGAGGTTTAGGGTTTAGGGTTTAGGGTTTAGGTCACGTTGCACATGGCCGTCTCGGCTCTCATGGGGGTGGGCTGGGGCTTCTTGAGGGCAACGGCCATCCACTGCAACTCGGGCAACGTCTCCAGAAACCCTACACCCTAAACCCTGAACCCCTAAACCGCAAAACCCCTAACCCGCAGAACCCCACACCCCTGCCCTAACCCTACACCCCAAACCCTGAACCCCTAAACCGCTAAACCCCAAACCCCAGAACCCTAAACCCCTACCCACTAAAATAACGCTCTCTGGCAACTGGTGAGCTTCTTGGCACCATGTCAGAGTTTCATCAAGATAAAGTTTCGGGTTTAGGGTCGAAGGTTTCGAGACTCTGTCTTCCGAAACATCAAAACGGAGCTAAGAGCTTTACAAGCGGAGCGGAAGGTTTCAAAGGCTGAAGAGTTGTAAGGGTTCTACTCTAGCGCATTTATGGGGGCTTGTGGGGTTTTACAATCCAACTTCAGTCGAGTCCTTCGTATTTCAGGGAGGGATTGCACTCTCTGGGAAGCGCCATTCGAAACTGGAGCCCTGCCCCACCCCTTCAGAACTCAAACTCAAAAGACAACATTCGGCTTAATACAGAGGCCTCAAGAATTAGAATAGGGTTTTGGGGTATACTATACTATAATAAAGCTAGAATACAGAACTCCCCTCCAAACTAGTACCGGCAACTGCTAGGTTCCTGAGTGACCCCTTAATAATAAGGGTGCGCTTCTTCCTGTTATTTAGTTTTAATAAGGGAACCATACAATAAAAAGAGCAAATGTGTATGGTAGGGAGTTCAGGGTTTGGGATCTAGAGCTGACGGGGTTCAGGGTTTAGGGTTGGGTGAGCCGATACCGGGGTTCCTCTTAAGGGATGCATTTTCAGCTACCATACTACCGTAGGGTTCTAGATTAAATAACATGGCTTCCTTATATTTGCAGTTACCATGTCAGGGTTCTATGTTAAATAACATGGTTTCCTTAGTGTTTGTGGTAACTCAACTTAAATCCCTTAACAAGAACCCGGATGGGTGGTTGTCAAAATGATGGTCCCTTTTGGGGTACCCTAAAAAATAGGTGCCGTATTATAATAAGGACCCCAAAAAGGGGACCATAATTTTGACAACCACCCAGAGAAGGAAGGTAGCGGTAGTGATCTACAGCTGAGAGCCCCACTACGGTCCCGGAGCCCTGGAGCCTCAAAGCCTACTTGGAGGATCATGGGACTTAGTAAGTAGGGTTATAAGTCCTTGAATTGGGGCTATAAGTATAGTTACCTTAGTTATAACCCTACTTACTAAGTCCCATGATCCTTTAAGTACGGCTGCAACGCACTGAACACTGAAGCTTGCAGACGGCTTAACGTGGGGGCATTAACAATTAGAATGGGATTGTGGGGGCATGATATACTACAATTATAATAAGGACCCCCCCTCAAAAAAAAAGGTACTGGTAAACATAAAAGCCCCTTTCTTGCCCTAAACCCTAAACTAGGGCCCTCAAACCCTAAACCCTAAACCCCTAAACCCTAAACCCCTCAAGCGCTTCTTTTCATTTTCAAGGCAGAGCCCTTGGGGAACAGTACCGGTGGAGACCTCGTAGTCTTTGAAGGCGGCTTCATGTCGGGGCGTCGGCTTCATATGGTTTAGGGTTTCATGGGTGTAGGGCTTCATGGGTTTAGGGTTTGGGTTTCGGAGTTTAGGGTTTAGGGTTTGGGGCTTCAGGGGTTCGGGGTTTAAGGGTTTAGGGTTTTGGGTTTGGGGCTTCATGGGTTTGGGTTTCGGAGTTTAGGGTCTAGGGTTTCATGGGTTTGGGATTCGGGGTTTAGGGTTCAGGATTTCGGGCTCAGGCTTCTTGTGTTGCTCGGTGCCGGGTTTAGGGTTTCGGGAAGGGATATGTGAGTATGGCTTCGGTCTGGTTTTGAGGCTAAGGGGTATGGAGCTCGGCTGCAGGTTTGTAAGGCTTGACTGCGGGCTCCAAGGATTACCGGTAGGGGCTGCCAGCCCCGCTTAGAGAAGTGAGACTCCATCTATAAAACCCTTAAACATTGAAGTCCTTGGCCATAGCCTATAAGCCCGAAAACTCTGAATGCATGGAAACCCCAAACCCTAAACCCGAAACATTAAACCCCAAAGCCCCTGAGCCCTGAACCCATGGTCCCGGTAAAGTTCCTAAGAAATTTACATGTCTCGGGCCCACTGTCCAGGGTTTACGGTCATGGAAAAAGGCTGTAGGGCTTGGGCTGGAGGGTCATTACGATTTACATGGGTCTCCAAGTAGTAGCAGCCGTATTCTAGCGATTCTTCGCTCTGGCTTGAAGGGAGGTGTCCTTATCCTGAATTAGCAGGCGCCACGTATCGGTCATGAAGACTGAGACGAATGCCAGGGCAAGGCACGGCCACGCTAGTTGTTCTGCATGGATACACCACAACTAATACCGCTGCTCCTCCTCCTACTCTTCCTACTGCTCCTACTCCTACTCCTACTCCTACTCCTACTCCTACTCCTACTCCTACTCCTACTCCTACGCCTATGCCGATGCTAATGTCTAATCCTACTCCTGACTCCTTCGCCAAATGCTACTTTTACTGCTTCTCCTACTGCTGCTACTACTACTACTTTACTACTACTACTACTACTACTACTACTGCTACTACTACTACTACGACGACGACGACGACGACGACGACTACTACTACTACTACTTCTGCTACTACTCCTACTGCTACTGCTACTACTCCTACTGCTACTGCTACTGCTACTGCTGCTACTGCTACTGCTACTGCTTCTACTGCTACTACTACTACTGCTACTACTGCTACGACTACTACTACTGCTACTACTGCTACTACTGCTACTGCTAC